GGGGGGGAGTAGAGTGTTGAGTATTTCTGCGAGGACAGCGGTGTGTGGTTGATACAATGGATGCAAACGGTACCGGACGTTTCGAAAACTAAGTTGGTTGATAGTTTGGATGTAATGAAAAAGGAAGTGTGGAATAATCCCGCAGAAAAAGGTAGGAACCCTCCTGTTTCTACCGATAGAGCTACATCGCACCGTGTACCGGCACGCAAAAGAAAAACATGTTTTTAAAAAAGTTGTCCAACGACGAAAAATTCGCACACCACACAAATTTTGACAAAAATATTAGCGCGCCCTCACCTCCTGTGCTGATGCGAGCATCCTTTGCACCGGTCTTCTCCAGAGTGGTCTCCACCGGCATCTCGTGCTGGACTGGCGTCTGGTCCATGTTGCCGAGTTCCTCGAAAACCTCCGCCTCCACAGACGCCAGCTGCTCGCAAGTCAGATCCTCCCCTTTGATGGGGCTCTCGTCAGGTGCCGGCGGGTTGCGCCGAGCATGGATCGCACCGGCGCGCTGTACGAGAGCCTCGCGCAGGTTCATCACCGTCGCCCACGCCGTACCCTCGTACCCCTTCGGCAGTTTCTGGCCCACGCTGGTACGCCGGCGGATGCTGAACCCATTCCGCTTGCGGAACTGTTGGTACCAGGAGTTGAATTTGATCTTGAAAGCCAGCGCCTCCTCCGGTTTCGCGTTCGCCGGCATCCCGCCAAGGGCGTCAGGCTTCAGCTGGAGCAGCTTGTTGATCACCTCCCGATTACCACAACCGCGGTGCTGCTTGCGCTGCTCGTTGATGTAGTCCACAAGGGCTTGTTCGGCGGCGTCGACTGTCGAAGCTTTCCCTCCGCTGGGAACCTGCTTGGCCTTCGAAAGCTTGGGGTTGGCGCTGACCTTCTCCCTGAGCTGCTCCTCCTGCTTCAGCCACTCGATGATACGCTTCCGAGGCACCTGGAGAACTTTCGCCCCGCCGTTGTTTCCCACCGGTTGACCGTCGCACGGGCAGATCTCCCGTGTGTAGGCCGCCGCCTTCAGTTTGAACCGGATGGGGTAGCTCCCTTTCCCTCCCACTGCTCCTGACCGCTCGATCGGGAAGTTGGGCTCCGGGTACGCGCGTTTGCCGTTGCTGCTTTCGACGGGGTCGTTGGCGGCTAGCATTTCATCGATAGCCTCGCCGGTTGCCTTCGGGTCCGTAGCGGCAGCTCCCTGATCCGAAGAAAATGGACGGCCAGCACTAGCCTGTGAGGCCTGTGAGGCCTGTGAGGCCTGTGAGGCGTCGGCAGGTCCCGCGCTTGCACCCTCCGACATCGTAGCCGCGCGTTGCGTGTGGTCGAGCCCGCAGCTCCGTCCCGGGCATTTTCCCGATTTTCCGCCGGTATTTCTCCGCCACGGAACTGTTGTGGTGGCAATTCCCCGAGACTCGTTTGTGTGTGCAGCTACTATAACAGCTTGTCTGTTGGTTGTGTTGTGATCGTGTTGCAGCAATACTATACACGCGAAGTGCTGCTATCCCCTGTGGTTTTCAATGTTAGGATCGCACATATCGGGGTCTTGGCACAGGGGTGTGCGTTCGAAAGTCGCCGTACCAGCCGCTTTGGATTTGAACAGCACCGCACATATCGGGGTCTTGGCACAGGGGTGTGCGTTGTTTCTTAGAACCAAAATATTTACTGCACTTCCGCACAGGTATCGCGAACTTGGCACATATCGGGGTCTTCGCACACCTGTGCGAAAAAGTCTGAAGTTCGAAACATTTATATAAGCGACCGCACAGTGTGCCAAGACCCCGATGATTACGGTACTGTACATGGCGTCGACTGGAAGCGATTTGCCATCGACTGGAAGCGATTTACCTTAACCTCGTGCGTGCACCGTTCTGGTCGTACGCAACTGTTGCGGCAGAGCAACGCTTCGACAACACTCCTTGCTGCATCCGTCCGCGTGCACTGCTGATAGTCTCGCTTGACAAGACGGCTCCCCCCCGTCTTTGGGCCAGCTTGAGTCAATATGTCACGTGCTGTGCGTTGTCAGGTTGGATGCTTTCGTCATGGGGGCTGGGACAGGTGGCTGCCTCGCCGGAGTTTCTCGCTTTTTGCGTGGCAAAGGATGCCCAGCCAAGGTATACCTGGTTGACCCCCCTGGATCAGCGCTTTTTAACCGTGTGCGACACGGGGTGTGCTACTCGCCACAGATGTCGGAGCGGGACGTCAGAAAACACAGGTGCGACTACGGGATTAGGTTGCTGGTCCTGTGAGCGTAAGAGGAACATGATGTTTTCAAGTAAAGGATCGATTGGACCAGCGAGGATAAATTTGTGCGTCATACTGTATGCTTTCGTTTTCGACACGACGGTTTCGCCACAACAGAATTGAGAGCAGCATGGAAGGTCGTTCTAGGGTGGGTGTAGTTAACGATTACATGCAGCAGGCCTCGATGTGACAGCCACTCATTCCGTGGCGAACTTCGGAACTGGAACTAGGTAGGCGAACGCGATGCACTTGTACCACTGGTTGAGACACGGACTGCACCGGGGGGTATCGCTAGAACGTCCAGGACGATATTTCGATGCTCTTACAGTAGCTCAGGGTTAGTGGTTCCTTGGACTACACAGTCGATGCAAGCAGTGTCGATGTGACAACGTCGCCTAATGTGTGGCATTCTGCGTATTTCGCGTGACTTTCTGCGTGTAACGCGTGAAAGGTACGACACGATCGCAGAAGGCATAGGCAACGACCACGTCACGGGCAACTTCGGAAAGGCCATCTTGGACGACGCCTTCAGGGTTTCCGACCAGGAGGCGGTGTATATGGCGCACTATCTCCTTAAACATGAAGGCGAGTCGCCACGACCCTACCGGACTCGCAAGGTAGTCGCAGAATCACGGGGGTGCACGGAGCTGAACTGCTACTTTCTGTGCCTGTCCGAAAAACTGATCATGAAGCTGGCCTCGTTGTTGATGATGTGTCGACATGTCAAAACGCTCTGGCGTCAACACGGCACCTCTCCTTCCCGACTCTTGGAGGAGAAGACGCGACTGCCAGAACTCACTTGACTCAACAAGGGTTGAAGTAAATTGAAACAAGGCCCAGACCATCAGCTGATAGAAAACCAAAATTCCCGTCGATATGACGGACGAAACAGACCGAGGCAACTCTCATTTCATCCGTATCTATTAGTACTGTGGACAAGGCTACCATGCATGTTGTATGGCGTTTGTGCAGATGGTTCGTGATGTACAACGTTGGAAACGCCTATTGATTGAAATGATTCGTTGTTTCTATGGTAGTCCATGTGAACAAACAGCCGGACCTAAAGCCCTATGACCCCTACCACGGTAGAGGTCATACAACATTTTCCATATATATGACACGCTATTTGAAGCCAACCCTACTGTCGCCCCTCCGCCGTCAAAGAACATCTAAACAGAAGTACGTTTTGTTGACGTGCGCAATCGTAGACCATGTCCTTTATCCACAGCCTAACGGTCGCTGCGGACGATGTTTATGGTGGGTCGCAGCACAATACTATTCCAGTAGTAGAGATGGTCTAGCCTCGCCTTGAAGCTAATTTTGGCGGTCTTCCTACCACGCCCCCAAGCGACCGCACAAAAGCGGCACGTACATATGCACCAGCCATATTTGGTATCCCTTTCCGATGATGTGACGATGCGACAATCGTGTTGATGTGTTTGGCGGGGGGCGTTTGGTGAGCAGGGTTATTCGTCGGGTGCTCCGCGGCCATGAATTGCGTTGGGGCTGTCGTGGCAGCCAGGAGGGCCGACACGGGGAAGAGAATCGTGACCGTGCTTTGCGACAGCGGTAGCAGGGGCATTTCCAGGCAAGCACATTGGGTCACCAACAAGAAGAGACCAGATATCGCCCATCGTTCGTGTGCCTCACATAGGCTGGGCTGGCGACCATCCAACTTCGTCTTCTGCCCTGTAGAATTGAGACGGGCGAGTGCTGCTGTAGACAGAGGTCGAAATTTCCTTTTGTGAAGGCGACAACAACATAAACAACAAACGTATCGAGGCAGTAGAAGCCATGCTGCTTTCCACAGCCGTCTTGTGCCTTGGAGGGAAGGAGCAGACTAGAGATTCCGTGGGAGTCATTGTGATGGGGTAGGTAGACTAGCGGTTCCCTCTGTACCAGCTCCAAATCATTTTCACCCTTTGGAAATGCGGGTGCTGAAACCCTCCATGCTGCCGTTCTCGCGAAATTGACAGGTTCTGGAACAGGGAGTTCATTGAGGCCCGCGGGCTGAAATGGCCGTTGCCAGACGACGAGACGCTGGAGAACCTGGACTTCATAGAAATCAGACCTCGATAGTTGCACGGATTTTGTCCCTGGTACAATCTTGTATGCAGAGGTCGGTCCTGCACCAACCCTCGACAGTAATGATGTTGGGATTGTCGCATTGTAATTTATTGCAAGAGAGCAATCCCAACAGTTCGGTCGTGTTCATGCTGTACTGCCCACATGTAAAGTACTCCTAGTCAACATGTCATGTGTGTGGACTTTCAGACGGTGGGCTAGAGGTACTAATGAGTGTGTAATTCGTCAGAAGTTGCTGCTGGGTATTGTTCTCAATTGAGGCACCGTATTCAAGCGGGTGTTAGAGATGGGTGTTGCGTGCCTACTGTAGAGTAGATCGTCAAGCGCAGTGGGCGACGTGCAGAGTTTGTTGGCCTTGTGCTGAAGGGCGAAGCTGTTTTGCCCGCCCTTCACCTTAGACAAGCTCCAACTCAAGGGATGTGCCAGACGGCTTTATGTCCGGCACAACGGTATTTTGACAATATAAAGGTGTTTGCGGCCTTTCTTACCCCACCACCCGATCGGTATGAAGACCGATCTCGATACGCTCAACGGAAGGTCTCCAACTGCGACCCCCTTGGCGTCACCGCTGCTGCTATTTTTAGACCGCGTGCTACACCATGCACCGCTGCAACTCCTCGAAGACGCAGCGGGTGGTTCCCCTTGAAATATAGGACTGATCCGTATAGCCCTAGAGTACGTGGGTATAAACTATGCTTGTGAACGCAGAGACACACGGACAATGAGCACAGTCACGTGTCATTTAGTAGAGCATAACCCATGAACACCTTTACGAACACAAGCCCCCCTGTTGTTGTAGAGTACAACAAGATGCGAGGGTTGTATTCCACAGCTTCCAAAATGGCAAAAACAATATGGGAATATGTTTGGGCACCAAAACTTCCTTCCCACATATGCCTAAAAGTTAGGTTGCGAACCCCGTGCACTCGTTACCCTCACCCCACGAAGGGCTTCGACGAGAACCCAATGAATACTTCGGAGAAAAACACTTCCGACTGGGGGTGTTCATCCTGTCACCCTCTTCATGCTTCCCTCAACAGGGCAAGCGCCTATTCACACCAGTTCAGGCAGCATGTTGCCAAGTTGCATGCATGCGTGAAAGTGCACTTACCTCACTGGAGGACCTACATACATGTGTCCCAATATTCAATGCGTGGAGGGCATATGTATGGAAGGATGAAGGTAGATTCCAGTCGAACGTTTACGTGTCGCGACGGATCCTGAACGGAGATACTGTAGCTGGAGGTGGAATGCCTGGTACGTACGTGCGTACGAGGTCTTCACACCAGGCTCAGTTGGTGGTGGTACCACCGTAAATAACTACTACATGTATCAAGAGAGCGAAACGGCCTCCGCCCGTCCCCCCATTATTCTCTCCTGTTCCTCCCCTCCCTCATCCTCTACCCTTCCTCTTCCTCTTTCTCCGCCTCTTATTTTTTTCACTTTGAGCTTCAAACCACACGAAAGCGTGATGAATCGAATGACCTCTTTGCACCATTAGGGCACTATGCGACAAAGGTCTGTTCAAGGTCGTACGGTTCGTGCTTCACAATGGGTTGCTTCTTGACCCAATACCCCCTACGAGGACCCAGGGCACGGAGGTCACGCGGGGACTCCTGAACGAGGCTCTGAGGGCTAGTGATGTACACGAGGCAGGAGGAAACAAAGTGAAGAGGATTCAAGGGAAGCAGCAGAGCCATCGGAACCAGACTAAAGATTCAAAGGAGGGCAAACGACACATCCACGACCTATATTTGAAGGGGAGGCGGGATTGAGGGGTTAGGGTTTTTATAATCCTCATCCATCAACCCCCCCCCGCCCCGGACGTCGGCCTCGATCTGCCTTACGAACTCTTTCGAACCCTTGGTCCGAGTCCGAGACCTCTGCAGCTTCCTTTGCACCCTCTTTCACCTCCTTCTTTCTTGCCTCGTAGATCTCGTAGATCCTTACAGCCTCAGTCAGGGTTCCCGTCAAGCTCTGAAGGCCTCCGTTCTCTGCGGCG